GACGTACGCGCCGCTCGCGAGCGGCAGGGATCGAGAGTACCCGCGGGACAGACGGGTATTGAGCGTTAAACGAGAGTAATACCTCCGCGGAGAGGTGCCCCGAAGAGAAGAGGGTACGTGGTGGAGCTCGCTAACGCATTGAAACCGGTTCCCGACGACGGTGCGCGGCTTGGTAGCCTCCGCGCTCCATCTGGCAAGTGTAAAGCACGGAAAGATCCGCGAAGCTGCGATAGCGGGAAACGTTCTCGTTGCAGGACTCGCGCGTTGTATACTCCGCGCCGTTGCTCCCGATCGTGCGCGCGCGCGTTCTCTCTCGCATCCTCTTATCAACGTTGGCCCTTATTCCCGCGACTCCGCGAGGGAACGAGCGGCGAGTCTCGCGAGTGCGATATAAACCGCGCGGAGGAATTTTCGAATGCGCGGTAGTGGCGGATCTGCGTCGTATCCGCGGAGAAGACGCAAGCCGCTTCCGGTCGCTCACTTGTATTCCCTTATCGGTGGCGCCGCGGACGAAACTCGCGAGAGAGGATCGAGCAGGGAACGCGCCGGAGAGTATCCCATCGCGAATGCTACGCTTTAACCCTTTGCCAGCCGTTGTTGCTTTAAAGCGACATTTAGTTTAAGTCGATGCAAACTAATCAATATTTTTCTCCACCAAACTGCCAAATGTTGGCATCAATCTCCTATCTCTTATGACTGTAGGTGAGATTTTCATCTTATCACCGATTATAATGATAAAAACCAATGAATTCTCGGCACTCGTTGTCTCTCCTACTCCGAAGCTGACATCTCTACAAGTGCGATTTATTAATATTATATTCACTTATCATAAAAGTGGACTATAGAAAATATCCTCGTGTATTATTACGATGAATGAAAAGTTGACAATTGTTATTATTTGCAGAATATAGTTTGCAAATATAGTTTGCAAATATAGTTTAAAAGTAATGCAAAGTATATCAACGAATTGTTTTTCTAAAGCATTTTAATACACTTTAATTTCTTCAATATAGTTGATTGGGAAATTATAAAAACAATCAGACATCACATCTCTACACTCTTCTAGAGACAATAATTAGTAGAGAAAATATTTTTGGATATAGAATTAATTCAGGATTCAAAGGATTAAAGATCCTTTTACATCTATCGCAATATCAGTTGCAATACTGCAACGTGTGTTATAACAATATGTTAATACGTCTTCACTTGTAACACATTATATTGATAAATTTAATTTAGCTCAACTTCAAGTGTTAGAAATGCTATACCAGTCAGAAACGTCAGAACGTCAATGATACAGTCTTTACATATCTAGAAAAAATATTTGATATTTATAATTATAATCGTATAGTGAAAGAATTATAATCAGAAGAACCATTTTTGTAATAAGTGTTACTATAGTGTTAATGATAGTAATTTTACGTGTGCATATATATTGCTATTACTTTTTTGTTGAAATAACAAAAATTTTTATCGCTATTACTTTTTTGTTGAAATAACAAGAAGGTACAGCTAGCGTCAAAAACAACTATAATTTTAAGTACATTAACCATTTTTTTCAATTTTCTTTTTTGTATACTGACGCTTCTGATTAATGCCATATTTGTAACACTTATAGTTTGAACTAACTTTTACGATCATCGTTGCGCCGAACATTGCGTCTGCTTGCGTTTGACATTGCAATAGATGTAGAATGGCTTTTATGCTCAAATCTTTAAGTGTGAGATAATAAAAGCGAGTCCGATATGATAAGCGCGATCGCACTTTTGTCACTCGTCTTTCGACAACTTAATTACAGACTGAAAAGTGACGATGGTCGGTCGAGTGGTCAGTCATTCGGTCGGTTAGTCAATCGAACGGTCCTCGATAATGAGCTGTGAACTTCGTTAATGGAACGCTTATCAATTCTTGTAGGAAATCGTCATAAATTTGAGGAGAAATTTCACAATCGGTATGATACAGCATGGATTGACTTAAACTGTCGTAAAAATTGGTGTTTACGAGAGTTTCTTTAACTCTCGAATAGATGTATACAGACACACTAAAGAAAAAATAAGTAACTAATCTCACTAAAGTTATGGTCATTTGGAGTATCAATATTTTTTGTTGTTCTAATAAAAAAGTAGTAACACATGTATATAATTATTATCATTAACACTAATTATCAGTAGCACTTGCTACGAAAATAGTTTTTTTTTGTGATTGTAATCATTTCACTATATTATTATAGTCGCAAATATCAAATCCTTTTTTTGCAGTGCACAACATTTTCAGACTAAAAAATTAATAGCAGGAATATGTGATCGACTACTTCAGTTTATCTGTATCACAAAATACCAATAACATTATACGAATAATGCTTTAGTAAACTTTTATATATTATATTTATAGTGAAATAATCAGGAAAAATGAATATTAGTAATAAAAATATGATAAAATATCAATAATAAGTAAGCTTCTTTGTTAGAACAACAAACAGATGAATTATAATTGAAAATTACTATAATTTTAGTAAAAACTTTTTTCCTTTTATTATATAAGAGTATCAGTATGCTTAAAGCTGTGATTATGGTATAGTAAAATTGACAGGAAATTTTAAATTACGTGAGATAATGCACAATCCCGGTATCTATTCTAGAGTTAAGTTTACATACTTCCGGCGTACTAATATAATATAGTGGTAACTTGGATGATTCTAGATCTTTTTGCGGTTGAAATTATCTCCCCCATATTTCTTCGGACTGACCTCGCTATCGTAGTTTTCGGAATGAAAAATGCAAATACCTTTCAACGTTGCGGCTGAAATTCTCTGAAAAGCTTCGCGACCCTCTTGCGATTTTTTGTGTTTACAAAGGCGTGAAATGGTTCAATTATTATTACTCCGAGAAAGAGAGACGAACCACGGAGATAGGCACAGGTGTTTGCCTATACAGGTGTTCGACGTTAATTGCAGTTGCGATTCTGCATCGAGCGAAGTGAAGGGTTCGCGCGCGCGGCGAAAGATGGTAAAACGATTCATAATTCAATTAGTTACTTGATTATCTTTCTCTCTCATCGAGACAGATATAATCGATATACTCATTTGTCGTCGCACATATCGCATATTTATCTTTCGCGCTATCAGAAATGTATGATGATTAATTGTACGTGTTTATTAGTCGCACGAATAAGATTGACTTTTATACGCTCACACGCTTGAGCGAATAATAGTTGTTCTAATAATAATTGTTCATGTTATCATAACTCGATTATCGTTTTAATTATGTTTTATGTATAGTCTAATCGTTTTATTAGACTTTTCTTCTTTTTATAACTAGACATACAAGATAAAACAACATATAGCGTTATTAAAATGTATGAAAACATCTCGCACGCGAGTAAAGTTCGTTATTTAGTTCCTAGAATAATTATTTCAAAGTCGTACAACCTCACGAGGTTTCCACGCATTCTTTCGTCACCTCGACGTTTCATCGATTATTGTCTCTACTTTCGATAGTCTTAAAAGTGTGTTCAGGTGTTCGGGTAAGGTCCGTTAAACAGCGGTTTGAAATTTCAGTAATGTCGTCCTGCAATCTTGTTGTAATAAAGTGCATGGAACACGATTGTAAATAGTGAGAGCGCTGAGAGCGCATGACGTATCTCGTAATTATCGATTTATCGCGATACAACGGAATTAATTGGCTCTCCATTACTCACACTTGCGCCTGCCTTATCTCGAGTATCCAAGAACAGAATGATATTATAACGATCGGCATCGAGACGCACGGAGTGTTCTCACAAACGTGAAACAGAAGCGACTTCGTGTCGCTTTTAATTGATATTAGAACACGTTTGAGATGTATCCGTAAGGATGTCTATCGCGGTAAATTGAAACGCTCGAGAGGAGAAAAAAGAAAAGAAAATCGACACGACTCGGTGAAAATATTTCTCTTATCATGATTCACTCTGTGCAGCGAGGACGAGGAATTATTAATGAGTTCAATGCACCCGAGGATTCTCTTTGTTATTGAACAGTTAATGGAATAATATTTGCGCGCATGTCAGATCGCGTCTGTTTTAAATAATCGTTATTTTCTTTTACGGCTAACAGCTAGCTACCGTGCAAGAAAAACCCAGAAGAGAAAGACACGATATCGGAGGTAACTTCTTGTCCTAATTTTAAAGTGACTTTATGCGACTTTATGCGACTTTATGAGAAAAATCTTCTAAGATGAATGTACATTTCGAAAGTATTTGAACAATTTGGTGGTATGGAGATCAAAACCTCGAGCGCATCGAAAAATTTGATTAATAAAGTTGATAGTGAATTATGTCTAAATTTGTATATTCGTAAGAAACATACAAATATAAGTAGACTGTATCGTAAGAATACTCGATTAGAAGTTTATCTGATGGCCCTGATCAGGTGAGTGTCAATCAATTGTGTAGTTGGTATAGAGTGATGTTATCGGGTTCTCATTATTAAGGTCCTGACTGGCACGTTGCGTTATATGTCATATTAGGATCCGATAATATCATCTTATACAATCGAGATAACTAATTGAGATCGACCGGATCTGAGCCGCGGAATAAACTTCTAATCAGGTAGCTGGTTTCCATGGCTTCCCCCTCTCTCCTCGCCCCCCGAAACATTTAGGATACTTCAGGTGTTTCGTGTAACTTTCGAGAAATCGATGTGATTTCGAAGTTGTGGAACGATTCCTGCCAGTTTTGTGACGAAATACGTTGAAACATTTGTGTCGACTAAGAGCCATTGTTCCAACCTCTTGGTAAACTATCTGACAGTTAAATCATGTGTCTGTCTTCGTTTTTTCTTCAAATTAAACAGACAGACACATGATTTAATTGTTAGGTAGCTTATCACGAGATTGGAACAATCGGCCAAGAATTAAGGTGTCCTCGCAGATTTTTCGGCGACAAACGCAACGATGCAAGTCATCGGTGATCTCGTGTCACAATCTTCCGAATGATTCGCCGGGTTTCAAGTGTACCTTACTCACCATCGATCAAAGAAGCCGGAACGTTCATCTGCTGGTGATGATGCGTGGCAGTGGGATGTTGATGGTGATGCGGTGGATGGACCTGCAGCAGATGCGATCTCGACTGAGAGAACGTCGGTGACGGTGGTTCCCAAGGTCGCGCGACGCTCGTGCTGACGGGCACATCCTCATCCTGGCAGCAGAACTTGTCGCCCACTGCCGAGGTGGTCGTGCTCGCGCAATTCGTCACTCCGTGGCCGTCGTTGCTGCTGTTGCTGTTGTTGCCGTTGCTGCTGGCGCTGTTGTTGTTGCCGTTGCTGCTGCTGACGTTGCCGTTGTTATTGCTGCTGTGGCTGTTACTACCGTTGTTCGCGAGGCGCGTGGTGGTCGCGCCCGTCGCAGGGCTACCACTACCACTAGCACTACCACTGACACTACCACTGCCAATGCCGTCGACCTGCACCATCTCGCCGTCGATCGCAGCCGCCGACTTGGCAGTACCAGGAGGGGTCGCGACGCCACCACCGATCATCATCACCAGACGTTCTTACCTCCGCCCCCTCCACAGTCGTGAGCAACAGCTCCTCCCTCTCTGCCGCTTTCCTCCGCCGACTCCTCGCAGATACAACACGTTTGTGTCCTCCGGATCGCCCCTGCTGCTACTCCCCGTTTTGCATCCGACGACTTTTTTGCCGTGTCTTTTTAGTCTCTTGCTCGCGATCTCCCGATTGCGAATTACTCGAGGCCTTCGTTAAACACAAAAGATCCAACGGCTGCTCCGATGGATGATTTTATGCGCGTTCTTTCGGACAACGCGAGTTTTCTCGCGCTTCAGACAGACGGCTGAGAATATCTATAATTCTCATCGCGCGGATAATATTGTCTGGCACGAACACTCTTTGACACTTCCGTCAGATGCAACGCCGTCCAAGTTACCGATAGGGTTTCAGTTTGCCACGTCCTCTATTCGTACACGCACATCGACGCGATAAGAGTTCGACACGAGCCTAAAACACTCGCGCTTTATTCGTCGTACGCTTCTCACTCGCGACTTCACGTCTATTGTCGTTGCTGGCAAAACGCACGACAATCCCACCCGTCGACGTTTGTTCGCGGAAGCTTTGCCTCATCCTCACGTTCAATGTTCACACACAACTGTCACGTGTACAGCACACCGTCGGCGACCTATCCTCTAACAGGCAGGTTCCGCGGATTCGCGCAGCACGTGGCCTGGCAAGAACACACGACGACAACGACGACGAGTTCGCTGTGTGTATTCTCCGTGTATTCCTGGATCAGCGGAGCGGAATGACTTCTTGGTCTACTCGCGCGATGACGGTCGCGAGCGCATCGCGACGCGAGCTTTTACGTCGTCGCCGCGGTGCTCGGGAGCTGCGGTAGTCGAAGTCGAGGAACCGAAGGTGCGGAGTGTTGGAGCGCAGGCGCCTTCGACGAAGCTCGTGATCGCTTCCTCCTCCTCCTCCTCCACCTCCTTCTCCACCTCCTCCTCCTCCTCCCTCAGTTCTTCCCTCTCCGTATTCTCTCTTTCTCTTACGTCCCGCTCTCTCTTCCTCTCTCTTCCTCTCTCTCCTTCCGCCTACGAAGGCTCCCTTCTCCAATGACGGACACCGAGGACTACTCTAGCGGGGTAACCTGCTCGCACTCCGCCGGATTCGAGCGGATTGCCTTCCGCTCAGGGTTTCGAAGCGCGCCCAGACTAGCCTTACCCCCACTTTGCCCTTCCCGCGGCCCGGTACTCGCCCGCCGCCGCTACTGCTCGCCCAGGTGAGATCAAGATTTAATGCGACGTGACTTGTGCCTCGTCGTTCCATATACGCGACCGATTCTCCGCCTCTCTTCGCTCCCTTCGTCCACAGACTTTTTCCCTTCCGGCGCGCACGGGTTATCGGCCAATTTTTGATCCCTCATGTGAATTCGTCTAACCTCCGCTCTCCGCGGGAGCAAACAGTCTTCTGGCATTTTCTTTCTTTTATCTTTTGACTACACGACTAAAGTACGAGACTATTAAGATACGAGATCTTAGGTACTCGTGCTGAGTGCCTAAGATACTCGTACCTTAGTAGTCTCATAGCTTAGCTACTAGTAGTCTAGAGTACCTTCTCGTACGTTTGCAACATAAGAACTTCACCTTTTTGTCGTCAGACGATCGATACGTCGAGTCACCCTCCAACGGAAACCAGAAGCTTACGAGTGTTTCGTTTAATCCCTGTGTGTGAAAAAGCTCCGCTATTAGTCGTTTCGTCGTAATACGTTGTACGTCACACGTCCCTTTCCCCTTTTGTTTGGTACTATGACATCGCAATCTCCACTTGCCACACTTTGACCCAACCATATTTCTTGGTTGCTAACACAAAAACGGTAGTAGTAATACATCGCTATTATCGCTAACATTATAATAGAATTTACTTATAAAAATATAATTATATTTTATAATTTATAATAATAATTTTCTCTATGTGTGTGATTATAATTACAAGTACCAAATATCTTTTACTCAGAGCAATTAGGTGAAGTGTCAGGTAAACGCAAGCGGTGATGAAAATCAGGGAACCGAATATAAGCAGAGGGTGATTGCCGATTACAGCGGATCCGTTCATAAAGGGTGGACGCGAAGTGGAATATTTGTGGTCGACGCGAGGTACAAGAAGAGCCCTCGCTCAAGCTTAGTCGATACACACGTAGACGAAGTGGGGACCGGGAATCGCAGACGGACATCGTGGGGATGCACGATAAGAAAGAGAGATAGAGCGACCGAGAGGGGGAGAGAGAGCCGATAAAGGCAGCCAAGTGCGCACTGCGAGCCGCGCATCTGAACTTACCCAACGCCCACCGACTATTACAGAGTCGATCGTCCAATTGGGCGACCCGGTAGCCGCCCACCGATCTGTTCGCTCAACTCCACGTCGCCCACGCTTTCAAGTGCGGGCTTTCCGCTCTTCCTTGCAACCGGCGCAAAGCCGTCGTCCTTCCTCGTCGCACGTTGACCGTTGCCACGGCTGCCGTGTGCAATTTCAAAATCGGACGTCGATGTCGGACTTAGGAGCACGTTACGGGGATAACCGATTGGTGCGATTACGTCGCGGCACCGACACGTTGCGTTCGCTTAAGCCTGGCCTGGTCTGGCCTGGTCTAACCTGATCTGGCCTGGCTTCATCATGCGAACGAAACTGGAGTACGAATTAATCGTCTGATAGCGCGCTATCTACGACGGTCTTTTATCCAGTCCCAAGCGGGACTTACATCGCTCTAGAGATTATCATAGATTGCTGACTATTAGCGGAGTATAATTTTGCGAATAATCGGTTTACAACGACTAGGTATATTCGTATAGGTATACCAGGTGGTGATCTTCAATTTGGGCGGGTAAGAAGAGCTCTTCGTGTTAATAATTGATCCTTTGGTTGAGTTGGAATTAAGCGAGTTACCTTGTATCTTTTGATGTCTTGTACAGTAAAAGAAGAAATCGCGAGTATAGTCACTGTATTTTTTGTTATTCCAACGAAAAGTAGTAGAAGCAATTTGCGTAGCAGAAACTCAATTAAAAATGTATCCTGTAGTTTTGATCAAGTCGAACCTAATTCGTTATTTGTTTTGTATAAGGTCCTAACTATTGTTATGGGATTCTAATTATTAATAAGTTTCTAGTTATTAATAATCCTTATTATTAAGAAGGTCCTGATTGCTGAATATATAACTTATTAAAACTCGATAACATCACTTTATATAAATCATGTAAGTGATAATTAGATGACTGACTGAGATCGGATTTCTAATTAGGAATATATGTCTATCACGAATACTATAGTACAACACTAGTACTTGCTATAAGAATAGTTTCCCCCGACTATAATTGCTCGCATAGAAAGTTTTTTGAGATCTAATTTAGATTCAGTTGGACTCCCCAAAATAATGATGGATTTTGTGTTAAAAATGTAATGTTTCAAACATGCAATTCGAAGTAGGAAGCTTAACATTTTTTCAATATTTTTTCTGGTCTTTGTTTTACATTAGAATTAGAATACAAACGAAACATATATTGATTTTCTAAATAATTTTATTTATTATAATACTCAAAGTATTAAAAACACATGTTTTTATTCTATTGAATACAATCCTGAGCAAAAATTGAATCTAGTGATTGTCTAGTAATGACTCAGAAAAGTTGGGTCTTACATCGCTACTAGCTAGGAATATAACGTTCACTTTTCCTAGTGGCTGTACCAGAAAAATTATCTAGTAGCTAGATAAAAAAAATAACTTGTAACTATAATTGATATAGTTACTAGACAGTTCTGATATCCAATTTCTTCAGAATTTACCGATGATTTTCTATCGTTACTGTGTAATCTTTTTCAGCTAGCCATTATCTATGTAATTGGTATAGTTACTAGATAATCGTGACATTCAAAAGACTGGAATATTTAACCAGTCACAAGCTAGTGACTGGCTAGAAAACTTATCTAGTCATTACTATCTAGCTACTAGTCTTGAAATCTGCTCTACTAGATACATTTTTGCTCAGGATGGTTGGTAGAAAAACGAGTTCCTGTTTGATACTATAAAAGTATATCGACAGAAAAAAGTACAAGTTAGAGTTTCTGTGTTTCGATTTTAGACAGAGAAACCATTTGAAAATATGATCTCTATTGATATCGCAGTGAGATAACCAATTTTGGGTATTCTAATCAAGATCTATATTGTACCTGGAAAAATTTTGGGAAATTTCTATGCGGGTATTTCACTTAGAAATTATAGTCACACTCTTTCACTATCAAGCACTTTTTTCTTAGTGTAACTTAAAAACTTGCGTTTCTTGCTTCGATTATATTCGCACAATCAGTGAAGAATTCGACGAATGAGATCAAAGCATATGGAATGTGCGGAATAACTTTCTTATTCCACAGTTTTTTCTCGAGCCATTAGATTAAATTAGTCTGGGTATACTTCTGCGGATATACGTTCGAGATGAAGATATAGACGCTGAAGAAAAATACGATACTTCGCAATTTATATTATTTATATTATTGCTGGTATATACGTAAGTACCAGCGAGTAAATATCTTAAGAGAAGAAAAATTACTGTCGTGTATCTATCGATCTTAGCATAGGCGCTTATAAATAATAGCTATATCCCTGTAATTTATACGCTATAGCTGCTTAACGATAGATAGAGATAGTCGTTCTAGTAATGGACCTCCGGCGAATACTGGTGCAGATAATTGTCGGCAGGGAGATTGTAATTGATAATAGCAATTTGAACGTGCCTTCTTCAGTTGAGTATACAAAGTATACAGTAGCGACACTATTTAATCATAGTTTCTCCGATAAACAAGCATTTCGACAGACTCGTGTCGCTCTTCGAATATCGAGGATGAATCTATAATGCGACTGACGAGACTGTCAAACGGTCCCGCCGAATAATACGGTGTCGAAACATCTTTACATAAGCTTGAAATCGATGTATAACGATAATTCGAGGATGTAACTTCAGAGTTATCTTGCCGCGAGTCGCAACGAAAAGTCGCAACCGAGTCTTAGGGTCGCCTAAGTGAATTGAACAATTATGACTCGGTAAATATTATCAAATATTTGCCTTGTGGAAACGCGCGCGCGGGTATTGTGTATCCATACGGGGAATAGACACTTGTTTGATACTCGCGAGTTGCGCGAATGTGCGACGTATCGATGATTATCGGCTGATGATTAATAAGATTAGACTCTATTTATCTAGGCAGCTGAACAAATTGATTTTCGTTACGCCAACTGTCGCGTCGGGAATAATGAAGTTGTCGGGACTGGAGACAGACTAATTTTCCACGTTTGTGCGTACAAAGGTTGGCATCACGATAGTAGCGACTACGAATTTCAAGTGTGTGTACGCCATTGTGTGTATATGATAGAAAATGACATTGTACAAATAACTATATTGAGGAGAAATATTTGGTATTTGTGATTATATAATCACATAGTGAAAGAGTTTTAGTCAAATAGTCAAATAGTATATCAAATAATCAGATAAATGGTAAAATAAATAGTCAGAAAAATAGTTTTCTAACAAGTTTCACTATAGTGTTAGTAAAAATTACCTTATATTAAGAAATAAGTGTTTGGTATTTGTGATATATTCGAAAGAATTAAGTCTAATCTAGAATTAAGTCTATCTTCTTTCGCATTGCGAAAGAATTAAGTCTAATCTACAATGTGCTCTTTGCTTCCTGTTTCTTGTTTTCTGTCTTTTTTTAGTTTAAGGCTTAAGGTGTAAGTCAGAAAGAGATAAAGAAAAAGAAACAGGAAGCAAATAACACATTGTAGATAAAGCTTTACAACGAAAAAAACAAAAGAAGCAAATATTATTATAATGTTAGTGATAATACCTAAGTCGAAGTTTTGATCTTACTTTCAGCCTCACTATTCTATTCAATACCTATTTTAATATTTTGAAACCTACATCAACCTCTTTTGATTCTACTTAACTTACCCAAATCAAAATTTTTATCCTATTTTCACTATTCCGTTCAATATTCATTTTGACATTTTGAAATTTATAAAATACAACCTATTTTGATGTTCTGAAATCTATAATACAACCTATTATACAACACTAAAGAAAGTAAAAAGAGAAATTTTATCAAAGTTAAAATAGGAGTAAATTGTATCATTAGAATTAAACCTATTTTGCTAATTTAGCTTCTACTGCGTTGTAGAATTTAAGGTTTAACATGGGGCCAAAATTTCGACTCGGGTAACCTTACATGCATATGTATTGTTACTACATTTTTTTTGTTAAAACAACAAAAAAAGATATAATTGGCGCCAAAAATGAACATAATTTTAGTGAATATTAATCATTTTTCCCTGAATATATATGGATATTACTGCACTAAGAAAAATTGTTTGATGTATGTAACCTAAATACATAGCAAGAAATACTTATAATTAATTATTAACTTATAGTTTATTTCTGTAGTCAGCGCTTTTGTAATGTTGCTGATAATATGTTACTACTACTTTTTCTTAAAGCAACAAAATTAGCGCTGAAAATGACTATAGTTTGTATAGTGAGATTAACATTTCTTCCCTCAGTATATTACTATTTTGTAATGTTATAGAAACAAAAAAAATAGCGCCAAATGTCACTGTATAATTTTAGTGTAATCAACAATAGTGCAATCTATTTTGTCATCCCAATGTAGCAATGTATACATATATAAATGTTAAATATCTCTGTGCACAGACAAATCTTATTAAAAAGATGCTGCACTGAAAAAACGTTAGCTGCGCCAACAAAAATCTATGAATAATAGCTAAATATCGTCGTTACATATAGATACTTATAAAAGTATAGCTGCCAGTAGTCATATTTAGCTATAAAACCTATATAGCAGCAACAGCATCAAAAGATTGACTTATAGCAGCAATTTTTTTTTGTTCCAGTAACAAACACATTTTCAACAAACATTTTCAGCAATGATTAGCAATGAGATTTTTTTCTGTGTGATTATCGACATAATGCAGCTTTCGTATTTTGTAATGTTCTTCTACTTGGTTGTATAGAATTGCAAACGCTTATACAGAGTGAAAATACAAATGTCGATGAATGACGAAGTATCCTATGTTACGTCAAAAACAAAAAGAAAATTGTAAATAAAATTGTTTATAATTTTTTACATAACATGGATACTCCGTCACTCATCGACACTTACATTTTTATTCTGTATGAGTATCTGCAATTCTATACATGCAAGTAGAGGAAACAGTGCAAAATACGAAGCTGCATTATGACGATATCCAACATCCTCTTAAGTGATTATAATTAAGCGATTCGCGCAACATTGATTCGCAAATATCTATGTCGAGTAATCATTCCACGTGTTTAATTCGCCGGTACGTAACGCGAAAAATTCATGGAAACGTTTAGTTGCTATATTCGAACAATGGACAAAGGAAGAAAAACTATAAAATCATCGGGCGCCCTGTGTCCCCAAAGAATTGCGAGTCGCGCGATTACTCACCGTGAATTAACGCAATACACAGACAGCGCTACATTGTTGCGGAGTCGCAAAACATTCGTGACTGCTATTATCACTCGCGCGACCGCATACGCGATCGTGTGTCGTGTGAAAAAATAGCGAGTCAGGCGCACGATGAAAACAGCCATTAGTTATTGCGTTAAAGCATTACCTTTGTTGTTCTTCAGGCTCGAGCGGAATGAAGCGATTGCAACTTCGTCTCGTGACTTCATGTTTCACGAGGAAGAGACAATCGCTCTTACATATAGTATAGGCACGGAAAATGCTGGCGGGACCGAACGGGATAAGTCACGTGGCACGAGATCGTCTCTAATCGTCTCTTTGTAAATTCTCCCGACTCCGAAACATTGTCCTCGACACCTCTCGATTGTTACATCAAAGCATCAAAGGCCATACGCGTATTCAGGACACCTAGTCATTGTTGTCGCGCGAGATGCACCGTGCTTCTCGTGTGTGACGCATGAAAAACAAAAGGAGAGAGAAGAAGAAGAACGAGACCAACGTGATGATCGCCGACGGAGAATGCCGCGGTATCCACTCTCGCGCACCACCGGGCTCGAAAAATTGATCGCGAGCACTCTACATCGTCACTGTCCGGCGTGCCCGGGGGGTTGCGCCAGCGTAAAGTATCGCCACCACCATCAACCACCATCACTACTATCACGAGGCTACCATTATCACCGTCGCACGCCTGGCGGTGATAAATCATGCGACAAGAATGATTCGGCTAAATTGCTGCTCGCACGTATCCGCGCTCGAAGCTCGCAGTGTGTGGGTCGTGTTGCATGGTCGCTCTAAAGCGGGGCTACGGGGGATGAAGAGAGGGGTTGGCGGGGGAAAAGGTAGCGAGAAGGGTACGCGACCTTTCCCCACCACGTCGACGTCGTCCGAGGAGACCGGCGAGACCTGGCCGAGAGAGGCAATGTCCGTCACGAGCGGTAATTACGCACGCGTTCCAGTAGCCATTGGTCTATTGATTTTGCCGGGGGCTGCGTTGGCAGCGCTCGCTGCTCGCGCGCGCCGCGACTCGCCAGGCCCATCACGAACAGCGGACCTCTTCGTGGCGTGTATAGGGCGGAGTCGGCCGTAGTGGGGCGACGTTGTGACCGGATTGGTCGCTGCGCCGGCGAACGTGCTATCGGCGATCTCTGCGTACACTCTGGTCACGTTGCGACTGATTCTACCGATTTTCTTTCCGATCTGCGGTGTCGCGTCGCTTCGTTTTGTCGTGCGCGATAGCGTTGATCTTGCGTTATTATGCGTCGTGTAAAAAAAAGAAGAATACTCGATGATTATCCAGTGCGTTTGACTTCCCGGCGATGAGCTCAAGATACATAGAATCGTTACGATTTATGTCGAGGGAAAAGACCGGTTGGACTTATTGAAATAACAGTCATCTTTGGCGGTAACCATTTTTTTTTTAGCAACAACAATATATACATCAAGTTATTATGACTATAATAGTATTTACTATAAATAAGATAGTTTTCTTGTGACTATAACCATTTCACTATATAATTATAGTCACGAAAATCAAACGCTTGTAAAAATTCGAACAGATACTCTCTTCATCCGTAAATAAATGATCGTAAATATACAGATTCGGATGCCATCAGGAGATTCTTTGTAAATATTTCTTGAATCGTTTCCTTGCTTTATTCTTTCATAACGCAGCATCTGACACGGAGCTCATTATGTCAAAACTCTCTACACCTAAAAGTAACGATTTCAATATACCCGAGTGTACGTACAATCTTAAAGCAATACTCTGATTGGTTTTGTTTCTTAAATTTACTCTAACATATTCATATGTATATGTTCATACTTACTTAAATTGACTTCTTGATCCTTAAACTGGGAAAACAGACTTTTACATTACGCATCATGTTATTTTAGCAACAGCAATATATACATCAAGTTACTATGACTATAGTAGTATTTACTATAAATAAGATAGTTTTCTTGTGACTATAACCATTTCACTATGCAATTATAGTCATAAAAATATGACTATAATTTAGAAAATAATTTAGAAAATATTTGGATACCATTCTTTATCTAAGATGAAAATTAATATACTTTGTATTTTTTCATCTTATATAAAGAAATAGATAATTCCACACACACATAAATTTATCTAGGTGATTATTTGTATAATTTTATCTAAATACCGGCAAAGCACTGGTAACAACATGTATAGAAAATTACTACCAATAATTATGACTGAAGACTATAATATTATTCATAACAAAAATTATTTTCCTGACTATAAGTACTTCACTATAATTATAGTCACAAAAATTAATCGCTTTTGCTATGATGAGAGTTTTGCGATTCATTCTGAAATTTGTCACAAATCTAGATGATGTTCATCGTTTATGTAAATAATATCCGATTTTCTCTTATCTTTGCAATTCAATAATCGGTTTTGTATATTGTATCTCTAATGTTGCATATATAAAAATTATCTTCAAGCCTGTTATTTTTTGTTGTCGTTAGTCGCCGACGACTTGGGTAATCGAGTATTTACTCGATTGAGAAAATGCAAAGCTTGATTTCATTAAGAGCATATTCATTTTTGGTGTCATCATTTTTTTTCACAAAATATTATTAATAACAACGTAAACAAAAGTTTACTATCACTAAACTATAAAAATTATTTCCCTGTGACTATAAGCATTTCACTATTTAATTATAGTCACAAAAACAAACATCTTTTCTCAGTGTATGACGAGAGTCTCGCGATTAGTTTTAAAATTTATCAAAATCTAGACTATGTTTATGTCTTTCTCGTTTATATAAATAATATGCAATTTTTTCTCATTTTTTTAGTTCAATAATCAATCTTGTACTTTTTGCTATTGCATTTCTGAAGATTTTCTTCGAGCGCTTATTTCTTATCTCGTCGTTAGTTATCGGCAACTTTTGGGTAATCGAGTATTCAAGGATAGCATACATAGTTTCTCTAAGAGTATAATCATTTTGAAGTCAACCATATTTTCTGTTGTTTTCACAAAACATTAATAGTAATAGCATGCACAGAAATTTACTATCATTAACTGAAGACCATATATTGACTGGGAGGGGGGAAGTTAATATATTCACTGAGTATTTTTCTGACTGTAAACACTTTATTATACAATTATAGTTACAACACTTTGGTCATAATAAATTTTGCGTAAATGTGCATGTTACCGCACAATGTTTTTGCTACTCTCTTAAAGTAAATCAGTGGAGCATCACTGAAAGCAGTAAATATACACTGATTTGCAGCTATAAGTATAGCACTGAAACTGCTCAGTGCTATACTTATAACTGATATTAGTGACTATTCATTGATTCACTTTAAGAGAGTAAAGTCTCGTGTTCTCACTTTCACGGAAGCACGTTCAAGTAATCCCGTGATGCTTACAAGTTACTCGGAGTGTAAGCTTTCGTTGAAAGATATTGACACGGTGACGTTGCACGTGATTACAGCATGTACAATAAAGGTGATTATCACGTAACGCGTGGCAATCTCTCAGGTGGTTTGTCGGGTGTAGCCGCGTCACTATGCCCACGATCCATCATAAAATTATAATATTCGAGTTTGCTGCAAGAGAGATCTTCTCTCTCTTAATAGCGCTGGCGTTATTAGCCACATCCTCCTCGAAGAAACGAGCCCACTTAATGCAGGGAAAAGAATTGTTGCCGCGTTGAATAGAGGCACCTGATCACCCGTTCTGATAGTTCTACGCGGTAAGCTACATTGTAAGTAATTTCGAGCGGGCAAAGAGAGCGCGGCTAATTACGTGCCTCGCGATGTGTTCTAAGTACATCAGACCTCGCGTATCAGCGACGTCGCTCCTCCTACCGGCGCGAGAATTCGCTTACATTCGCATGCGGCCTCCTGTGAAAGTAGCTAATTGGTTGGCAACCGAGTCTGCCCCGTTCTCGACGCCATCCTATGAAAATTGCGATTTCCAACGTTCCACAGATACCGCCGATAACGACATTCTCATCGTGTAAACGTCTATCTATGTAACGTGTTTCCGGGCCGAATTCGAAATCTAAGTGTGTTTGCAACTCTCTTTCTCTCCCCCTCTTTCTCTTTCTTACCGAACTCATGTCTCATCATAAAAGAATAATTCTCTATGTTTCACGTTGTGAATGCACAGAGAGAAAAAAACGATTAATCTTACTAAAATTATAGTCATTTTCGGCGTCAATTATATTTTCTTATGGTTCTAAAGGAGTAGTACTAACAACATGTATGTGTAAGATTATTATCACTATGGTATAACACTACAAAAAGTTGTTCTGACTAACATATTTCTTTTATTACACTTGAAATGTATAGTAAAGAAAATGTCTTGTAATTTTTTCTTTTTTTGTAGGTCTTGTACTTTGTAATCTTGCAATAGTTAACAATGCATTTGATTGAGCGTTTCAATGTAATATTTGTTAATTCGTATCAAATATGATAATAGTTATACTAACCGTCTAGTAATAATTACAAAACAATTAGTAAAACAAATTCTACATCTAGTTGAATAAATTATGCGGTCTAATAAATAATACTAAATAATTTAGTAATAACTACTGAATGGTTTAACTATTATTAAAATATTTTATTACTTCATATATTTATCACATAATGTAGTAAGTATTACTAAACAATATGATTTCATTTAACAAATTGTTTGATGATACATATGACATAAATTGATAATAGTCACCAAAATTAGCAACAAATAACAGCTTAGCAGCAAACACCAAGCCTTGCTGACATCAAGCAGTATTGAGGTTATATAATACTTATCAAATTTTGTGATTATATTTACTTACACCTTTAAGAAAAAAATATTTGATATTTGTAACTACAGTTATATAGAGAAATTACTATGAATTATAGTCAAGACTATATCAAGTCAAGAATTATAGTCAATACTATTTTTATTTAAATTCTACTATAATGTTAATAATCATAACATTATAAGCAAAAAAGAAAAAATTACAAGACATTTTCATTACTATACTTTTCAAGTGTAATTAAAGAATTATAGTCGTCAGAACAACTCTTTGTAGTAAGTGTTATACTATAGTGATAATAATCTTACACATACATATTACTACTATCATTTTTGTGTTAGAGCAATCAAAAATATGGTTTGAAATGATAATACATTTACTTAGACCAACTACTTTTTCTCTCAATATTGAAACTATTTCACTACCAGGTGTAGAAGTATGAAACCGGAATTCCCCTATAAATGGTGCCAGCGTTCAGTTTAGTGACCGTAAGACCGCTACTGCCGCGCTATTATATTCTCCTAACAGCTGACGAATATTGTCAACAAACATAACCCCAACTTTCATTCTCTAGTATATTTTTGTATAACCTTAAACATGTCACGTTTCGAGCCTACTAACTATGATTTGCGGACAGCATTGATTTTCTGTTATCATTTAAAGAAAACTGCTGCAGAATCACATCGAATGCTTGTCGAAGCTTACGGTGAATATGCTCTTGGTAAATCTCAGTGTTTCGAGTGGTTTAAAAAATTCAAAAGTGGTGATTTTGACGTGAGGAACGAAGAACTATGAACTATGAACTATGAACTATGAACTGCTGAAACCTGGTCAAACCGTCAATACTAATCGCTACCAACAACAAATGATC